CATTTTCCCGCTATTTTAGACATGCATACATATGTTATATATATAATATTTTTACTAGGACCCAATGGAGGCTCATTTTATTCTTTTTTTTTTTGTTTATCAAAAGCATCACATCTCCTCCCTTTACATAAGAGTGGAGCTTTTCTTTCATTGATTGCTCCCATGTTTGCTGCTTAAAAGCTTACTTTTATTCCCATCATATCTTTTATTTGGTTTTTTAAAGTTCCTCAAGCTCTGAAAATGATGATTGGGCAGACAAAAAATGTTGCTCCATCTGTAAAGCAAGTTTAGTTTGCTGTCATAACCATGACCTAAACTATGGAGATCAACACACATCTGCTTTACTTAAATTAAAAAATTACCGGTATCTCATTTGATAATATGCTTATCAAATAATAAAAATAATCATCTTTTTTGCATCTGATTTTTTTCATTTTCATTGTGACAGAAAAAAGTACATTTCTGTCCTTAAAGCCACAGAGCAAACCTGTAGCCTTGGATTCGTCTCTGAGTGCAATGCGTGCACCGTGTTAATGCACTGAGAAAGCAGCCTCAAAGCAGATCACAGGGGAGTTTGGATTCATTCATTTAAATTAATGCCGGTCTAAAGGATAAAACAGCAGCTTTTTCAGTGTTGGGGTGTCTGAAAAAACATAGAGGCGTCAGAACCAGTTTAAGGTGTAATCTACAGTTCACTAACAGGAGAATTAAAGAGCAAAACATGTGTAAATGTACAGGATTAAATTTTCCTAAAGCCTTTGCTAGTGATCCATGTTGCCTTAATTATATGCAGGGGTAGATTTACCATTAGGCAAAACTAAGCAGTTGCCTTGGGCCCCAAGTTGCTGGGGGCCCCCATAAAACTCTATTTACATGTATGTTTAATAGAGCTATTACTTATTTGTGCACATTAATTATGTTTTCAACAAATTCCTTTCATTCAAATGCTATGAGAATGCTTATAATATTAAGTGTGTCTCAGGGCCCCCCCTTCAGTGTCCACCATATTGGATCAGTCCATTTGCTGCACATGTTCAGAAAGGTCCAAACAGACAGCAGCAAACCATTTGAAAACAAACGATGTGAGGAGCAGTGTTGCCAACTTAGCTCTTTTGTTGCCATTTTTAAATACTTTTCAGAGCCCTCTAGGGCTATTACAAAAAAAACCACTTAGAGCCAAATCTAGCGAATTTTTTTCTGTATCTGGAGACTTTGGAGACAATATATAAAAGCAGCGAACTCTGCTCTCCAGAGCGAGTAGATTGGTAACCCCGCCTCCTGCTCTCCTCTATCTTGTCTGCTGTCATGATTCATGCAGCTATTATTTCATCCAAATGAAAAATGGAGAACAGATAAGCAGATCATGGCTTGTCTACAGCGACTTTAGCGACTTTTTAGACCCCTCTAGCACTTTAATTTCTAAAAAAGCGCCCAGCGCCAAATCTAGAGACTTTTTTTTGCTACTGGAGACTTTGGAGAC